CCTAAATTCGATACATAACATTTATTTTGGCCTGATCTTATGCAAATGTTTAGTTTTGCTTTATAGCTKGCGTTATTCAAACTATATCAGCCATTAGGTTAGGTATATTATAAAYATATATAGTCGATATAAATATAAACATGCTAATTTTCTTTTAAAGAAGAATGTAAAATTTTTGAATGGGTGGTGTTGGCGAGACAGTCGTAAAGAATACAAACATTGTCACATATATTTAGTATCTCTACTTTAAAAAAAACCCAAAGCAATTTAATAACACATACCTATTTTAATATAAATATTACAATAAGTTAAAAGATATTTTGCTTCTGTCATYTTTTGCAAGGTTATTAATCTAATTTAATTTAATACTCAGATTTACGTAAAAAACTATCTCCGTATTATATATATATATATAATTATATCATCATTTCTCTATACCTATAGGTCACCCCAAAAGTTATTTCTTTATAACAAACCTATAAATCGCATGWATGTTCAATACATATTTTAAACTTTTTAATTGAAAAGTGAAATTATACATATATTATAATACAATATATACATTTATATATATCATGTGATATAGGTACGTACAGCATGATCTTCAAATTTTTTCCTTTTTTGCTGAACGTTCACCTAAGTCCAAGCATTTATTCGGTACAAGTTTCCGTTTGCGTTTTACAAGAATATCAAATTTCAGTAATTAAGTATACCTACCATATATACATTTACAGTAATATAGTTAATAACAATAATAATTGTTTTACATATATATTCAAATTAGTAGCTGGTTGATCTTCAAATTTTTTCCTTTTTAATGGAAGTTCCCCTAAGTCCAAGCATTCAGACAATTTGATAGATATAATTTTCCGTTTGCGCTAGAATGCTAGATATAATATATATAAGAATATAAAATTTTAATAATTAAATATACCTACTATATATAGATTTATAGTAATATAATTAATAACAAAAATAATTGTTTTACATGTTTATTCAAATTAGTAGCTGATTGATCTATAWTTTTTTTTCTTTTTACTGGACATTCGTTTAATTCAAAGAATATATTAGGTAGAATTTTCCGTTTGCGCTATACAAGAATATCGAATTTCAATAACTAAATACACCCACTATATTCCATTAAATTTCAGCAGGTGCAAAATTTTATCGTTCCAATAATCGTAATGATAAATTAAGTCATATTATTCATATTTAAAGCTAATTGCATTGCTCGCGTGTACTATAGGTATCTTTTTATATTTGATAACAATATATAACATAAACAAGTTTCAAAATCTGTATGTACCTATATTTTAAATACTATATGTGCTGTGTCTGTACTATATGATACATTATACATATAAAAATATAATATTTATATGAAATTAATTAAAGTGATAAAAAAATTGTTTAATAAGTTTAAAAGGGAGATGGTATTTTGCGCCACGAATATGTACATTTAAGTACGTATGTAATTTGCGCCAAAATATAAAAATATAACATGTATTTTGCGCCACATATTATACTAATTAATTTTGGTATTTTGCGCCACTAAAGAAAACAAAATGGAATATGTAATTTGCGCCACACTTTCAACTTTAATAGCAGTTGGAATTCCGTTCAGAATCGTTTTTCGTATACAATGATACCTATCATTGCATTCAAATTTAATCCCATCCATTACAGTAACCTACTGTACAGCAGAGCGACATCCACGACTTACCCGCTTTTTTATAATATTTTTTATTACTTAACGATAATTTACATATTTAATATACATGGAGTTATTTATATTATTATAATATAAGTGGCGCAAATTAAAAATTTAAAAAGTGGCGCAAATTACCAAAATAAATTTTTAGAAGTGGCGCAAATTACATATATATATTTTTTTTTTTTTTGGTTGATTTTGGCGCAAATTACATACGTCCATTTAAAAAAAAATCAACAAATCAATGAAATTTAGTTGGTATTGTATTTCAATAGGTATAAAGATCAGCATCTGCAGGTGCAAAAGCATATCTTTTCACCTGATATACATATTACCAGGGGGTGCAAGTGCACCGTTTTGCATCCCCGTATAATTACGCCATTGTTTATACTGTTTATAGTAATATAGTTAATAATAATAATAATTGATTTACATGTATATTCAAATTAGTAGCTTGTTGATCTTCAAATTTTTTCTTTTTTACTGGACGTTCGTCTAAGTTCCATCATTTATTCGGTACAAGTTTCCGTTTGCGTTTGCTCTATACAAGAGTATCAAATTTCAATAATTAAATTTAGAATATACTCCATTATAATAATGTAGTAATTATTAAAATAATAATTTACATGGACTTTTACAACAGAAGTTAATATTTTACCATCGAATTTCCTTCTTTTCAATAGTGGTTCATTGAAGATACTTAGATTAATTTCGATATTTTATTTAAKCTGAGATTATAAACACGTCAGATAATATTAGTTTTATACAATAAAATATATGCTTAATAAGTTATAATAGTATACAGGATTCATATTATCCGTAGACCGTAATACAATAAGAATATAACACAAATGTTTTAGAGGAAAGTTTATTAAATTTTAAATTATTACTAAATTATTAGCTATATTGTATAATGGTATTGTAAAGCTTAATGCTTTTCATATCAATAAATGCTAAAATGCCCTATGAAAGGTAAATTGCTTTTATTTTTTAATTTATTTACTAACTATATAATATTATTATTTATARTATATTAATGGTGTAGCGCTATCTAGTGTTGATTTTAAATTCAATTTTATATCATGAAGGAGGAGGAACAAGACAACACTATAAAAAAACAACTTGTACGTGACTAATGATCATCTTTTTTAAGTTCCTCAGCTCTCACGTGCTTTTTTAAATTTTGTCATTCTTTTGTAGATCAAGTTTAATTTGAAGGATCTCGTTTCTATTATACCTTCTGATAATATAACTATTATAGCTAAGTTTGAAGTTTTCCCATTGAAAAATGTATCATGAATAAATATTTTGTTAAAAATGCAACCTAGCTATTGGTTATTGGCACCATTCATTTTTATTGCACACTGTAATATAGCATCAACAGTTGTTCACGCTAAGAGGTACCACTAAATATTTCAGTTCTATTACCTTGTATTGAAATGGGGTTTTAACCGAATGATAGATTATAGTACTTAAATACACATTTTTAAATAAATTTCAAATTTTTAATACTTGATACGTGCATGCGCCAACGTTTTTTTTACATATTCGGATAGAGTATTTTTTCCAAGCAATTATGAATTAAAAGTTTTTTTATAATTACAAAATTAGCATATAAAATTTAATATTTACGAGATTTGTTTTTGACGAAATTTCAACTAAATTCAACTCTTATTGTTAATTTAAACTTAATATCTAATATTGTTAAATGCCTGTTTTCACACATAATAAGAAATAAATAAACACTTTTTTATCGTAATTTACTCTAATTTTTTTCATTCATTCTTCTGAAATAAGATAGCTAATTGAATAAGTTAAATTTAGTTTAAATTTCGTCAAAAACAAATTAGTAATTACTCCTAAATATTGAATTTCATCCTTAAATTTCATATTGCCAATTTTGTAATTAAAAAAAACTTTTAATACATTAATTGTTTAGAAAAAAAATACTCTATCCGAATATGTAAAAAAAGTTGGTGTTATCATTTAAAAAAAAAAAAGTGGTATCGCGCATGCGCGTATCAAGTGTTGAAAATTTGAAATTTATCTAAAAATGTGTATTAAGTAATACTTAGATCATATATGATCTAAAATTAAGTAGGTACTAGCTATCATTCAGCGAAAACGCCATTTCAATACAAGGTAATCGAATCTGAAATATTTAGTGATACCTCTTAGCGTGAACACACTGTATATATCTGTAATGGTTTAGACAATTACACGTTTGTTTCGACAAAATTATTAAAATTAAATTTTATTTGTTTATTTGTAACAAATATATAAAAAAAGCATTTTATGGAAACTAATTTTATTTCAGATGCGACTGTCTGTCTATCTGTATTCAGCGGCCATAGATTTAAATACTAAAAATATTTATAACTAGATAACAAATTATTTAATATCATAAACCACGGTTTTCTATAATATACTAGTATAAATTAATCCGAGATATTAACATACCTATTCATGAGAAAATAATTATAGTCCTATTAATTTTAATTTATTTGTCATGCCCACATTATTTAGCCATGGTCATGACTAATTTAATATAAATGTGTATACTAAACTAATGAAGACTATATAATGATATTTTCATGAACTAAGATAAACAGAATTCTGAAGTCAAATCGCAGAGATCACAGAGTAAGACAAGGAATTCGTGTTATCGCCGACTCCAATATTTTTTGCTCGGATCTCGATAAAAAAAAAAAAGTAAAGAGAAAAATGTTATCTACGTCATAGCGCCTCAGATTACAAACGCTACCTTGCCACCTTGGGGAAAAACCAATAAAATACAATCGAACGAACGCCTGCGAACTTTGTCATCGACAGGAAACTATAATTATATTATTCGTTTATCGAGTACAATATCCATTATTCATCGAATGTTCGAAAATCGTGACCGTACAAAGGGATAGGGGAGTAACGGTTATGGACCACTACGGGCTACAGAATGACTGATCCCGACTGAAGATTGAAAATTTGAATAAAAAAATAATTCCAAACTTTGGATCATATTATACAATTTTCACGTATARCATAATATTATGATCTAAGGTTCAATATTAAACGTAATATCGAGATATTATTATTATCATAGAAATTGCACAATGTTGTTCGGGAGTCGTTCGTACAAAGCGTAGTGCGTACTATTGCGTTGTACACAATCGCCGCTCAYGATCAGCTGATCGACTGTTCACCAAACGCGTCCGCTTTCCGCCGCCCACCGGTGCAGTCGTTAAAGCGGCGTTCCCCGTGGGAATGGCCGCCAGTATAAATGTGACTCTCAGTCGGTCGACATGGCCGTCGTTCGTGTTTGTAACCGCTATYCGCACGTTGTCGTAGTTCGCCACGGAGTTAGGTTTTCGCGATCGCCGTTTTTCCGTTCACCGCCCGCCCGCAGACGGTGGCGGAACTCTGTATTTTTGTCGCCTGACGACGGGAACGCGCAGGACTATCTACAAAATAGATCGTGCGCCGGACGGAACAACAACTTACTATCGTCACCGTCCACTGWCCAGTCGAAACGAGTCCCCGCGGGTACCAGTGATAAAATGACGTAAACGTACGTGAGATCATCGACAAACAGCAGTTATATTATTATTCATTACTCAGTACTCTCCTACTATTTTAATGCAATATACGTCGTACCTATGACCTGATAAATCTCCCATTTTTCTACCCCCGGTTGACGKATACATCGTCGATCAGGTAAAAAAACCAAAACGCTAGAAAACCTCTAGGATTTAGTATTCACTACCTACTTAACAATACACATATTTTTTTTTAACTTGAGCGTTTCTAATTAATAATCGTTATATAATATTTACGCTATATTACGTTATAGCAAAATTGTATTTATATAGTTTACGACATTACATTACCGTTTTTGTTTATTTAAATTTTTTTTTTTTTACCTTTTACGGCCGTGTACGCCGCTCCATGACTGGATGACCGTGTCACTGATGGACAAGTCAATAAGTAACTGCGAGTATAGTGATTACCGAATACCGAAAAAAGGGGTACTGACCTACTTATTGTTATATACCTATTGTGTAACAACAATACGTGGTTATTTCTTATAATTGATCCATTGTGAAACATCCTGCAGCATTTACGTAGTTGTGTTCACCTTTGGATCGTATAAATCTTCCAAATTTTGAAAATGGTCTGTCCCCTTTTCATCCCTAGACCCTGGCGGTCTCGTCGCCGATCGGCCGTTGCTCGCGCTTGCGCATCTGGTGGTGAATCGGTAACTGATAAAACGCCACCGGCCACCACTAGTCTGCCGCCACCCACCGACTTTTGAGCATTGCCAATTTAAATTCCGTTAACACTTAACACGCGTGACGTGCATTCAATAGTGAAGGATCCGGCCTCCAAACAAGAGCACGCTATCATCGCGAAACGTTTTACACGAGGCTAATCATTTTTAAAACTCATTTGATACATTGTGTACGAGCTATATACGTGTACTTAACATTTGAAGGAATTCAATTTTACGTTTGAAGCGTTTAGGTTTAATTAGTTTTCTATTTGAATGTCTAAATCTACAAATTAAATGAAACTGTATGTGAACAAGACTGACATTTTTAACTTTAAAATACGATTATTTKTAGGTACCTATTTAATATAATCTACTTATAACTGCAGTGTATAACAATACTGTATCACTTGAAATATTTTAATTCCACCCTTAATTTTTTTTTCAGTGTGTTTATGGATAGGTGTCAACTTTGAAATTTGTCTGTAAAAGAAAATGGCTTCAAGGTAATTTACTAACTTATTTTAATTCTATATATTTTATGACCAACATTATTAAGATATTACTGCTTATAAATAAATGTATTCAAWGTTAAATATTATATTTAACTATTAATAAAATTAATTAGGTATATAATATTATCCTATGTTTGTTTTTTCAAAGTATTAATTGCTTATAAAATTATTGTTTTACAGATTAGATAGACTGTTTATATTACTAGAAACAGGAAGTAGTCCTGTCACAAGAAAAGCAGCAGCAAATCAACTGGGACAAGTGGTGAGGCTMCATCCTCATGAACTTGAACCTTTATTAGAGCGTATATCTACATATTTACGACATTCGTCATGGGAAACTCGTATAGCAGCTTCTCAAGCCATTGAAGCTGTAATTAAACAAATTCCCCAATGGTGTCCAAGTGGTTTACCTCCCATTAAATTAGGTGTGCAAGATTAAATTTATTGTTAAAATACATTTTGTATTGATATTTATATATTTTTATATTTTATAGAACTATATAGTGATTTGCAAGTAGATGAAAAAGAAAATGATGGGAAATTATGTTTTGATACATTTGATTTAACTTCTATTATGAATTGTTCTGCTTTGATGGCTTCTACAGATATTGATCAAGATAATCTAGTAACATCAGAAAATGGTAATTTATAACTAATTACTGAACATATCTTCTTTTTTTGCATTTTATTGAAAATTAAATGATAAGTATAAGTTATGACAACATTTATATAAATATTGCTATACAGTATACATGAACACAATACTTTTTTAATAGCTATTATCTTATTTATAAATATTTCCAATYATCAATTAATTAAATCACTTAAATCTGTTTTAATTAATTATATCTATCTATTTATGTTATTCTTTAATTATTGATAGGGTATTTTATCTATAATCTCAGAATTATATAACTAAAAATATTTATCTGAGGTGAGTCACTTGTTGATAGAGTATAAATATGTTTGTTTTTAATTAAAACATGAATTTTGTTATTAAGTCACGCGTTTATTATAACATTTATCACATGACATTTTATTTTCAATATGCATTTAGTATCTTCCAATGGTTTCGTTGTTTCTACATAGTGGTGATTGGTGATCAATTAATGCAAATCATTTAA